AAAAAAAAAAAAAAAAAAAAAAAAGTCGGATCGAATCTAACACAATTGACTTGTTTCGGTTAACATGGCCAAGCCAACATGTATTGACTTTTAATGCAATTTTAATAAATTAAAGACTTTAAGTAGATGCTACATTGCAGTTTTCAATTGTTTTTGTAGTAACCTTTCCACAACATTACCTGAAAAATTATAAAGGCTAGCAACCAGCACGCAGTAACATATTTTTAATGTAAAATTTTGATCCCCTGCCCGCAATTTAATTCCAAAACGTATTATCAGAATACGTTTTTCATGTAAAATAAAGTGGTGGACACTGCCCACCGTGAGCAGGTGAGCGGAACTATTTTAATGTATAGGCACAGTATATTTTATGGAATAAACTGAAACATACGATATTTAATTATTTATATTAATTCAACATATAATTTAAGGAGATGCTATAATCTCGTTACGAAACCATTCCATCGGAGTTTATAAACGTTCGATCAACTACTCCCAATGGTTACATGATGATCTAACAATTACACACTCTAACAGAATGGTTTCATAACGAGAGACCGTAGCATTTTCTAATTTATATTTCCCATAAATGATGCCAACTCATTTATTTACACATGAAATTTTGAGGACAATAAACAGTATATTTCAATACCTCCACTATTCACTCTCCTTTTTTTCCCCTTCTTTTATAGTTGAAAAAATAAAAAACCTTAAAACACTAAAATGTCGAAGACAGATAATAGTAACAATACATAAAATTACATATATGATATATATATATCATCTATGTTGCACCTCCATCATTAGACTGAAGTCCTCGAAGCACACGAACCCGTCCCCGTTCCTATCCGCCCCGCTTATCATGCGCCGGCAGTCCTCTAACGTGCACCGCGCGTCCCCGATCGTCGCGAACACGCGGAGCAGCTCCTCCGCCGTGATCCTCCCATCCCGATCGGAGTCGAAGAACCCAAACACCTCCCTGAGCTCGCTGTCCCCGGCGGTCGACGGCGCGAAGGCCGACACGAACGCGCAGAACTCCTCCAAGCTGACGCAGCCGTCACCGTCCCTGTCCACCTCGTCCAGGACCGACCTAAGCTCATCCTCCCGGTCCGGCGGCCCGTCGCCGCCGCCGCTGAGCCTGCAAAGCAGCCGCGCAAGCTCCTCCTTGGCCACTTTCCCGTCGCCGTCCCGGTCGATCATCTCGAACGCCTGCCTCAGCTCGGCGTACACGCCGGCGGGAATCTCCGGGAGGACGCTCGTCGGCGTTGACCCGCCGTTGGGGTTTTTGGAGCAGTCGCCGCCGTCGGAGGAGGAGGAGGAGAACGACGTCGTGCGGGAAGAGAATGACCGGGATTTTCCGGAGATGAAGAGTTTTCTCAATTTGTGAGCGAGCTTCATAATTTCCGAAAATTGAAAATTGAGAGAAAGAGAGAGAGAGGATTATGAAAATGAGTGGTGTAGAGAGAGAATGTTGGGATTTTGGTGAGGTGAAGGAGAGAGGAAAGGGAGAGGGATTTTAATGGAGGAGAGAGATTTATTTTGGAACCATTGATGACCTTCCGGGCAGCTTCGTAGAGAGAGATTTTTTTTTTTCTTTTTGAAAAAATGAAATAAAATAAAATATTTCTACAGTTTGTAATTTCTATTTTTGGATTTACTTGTAAAAATTTGCTCTATTAAAAACATTTTCTACTTGTATCATCTATTATTATATAAAGAGACAACTTAAAAAATACTTAAATAGTAACTAAAAAATCATTTCAAATCCCGCCTAAAAATTAACTAAACACAGAAACATTTTTGAATTTTTTTCGCAATATAGTGCCACTTATTCAACCATTTGAAATTTTCAAAAATTTGAAATTGTATGTCAACATCCCAAATCTTCATTGCCGTTTCAAATTTTTAGAAATTTTCTAAACAAATCAATTTTAAGAAGTTTTTTTAAAGTTTAAACAAATTCACTTTAACATCTCCAAGCATACATCTCCAAGCATATCAATATCATTTATTTATGGACACTCTCAAATATTATTGTAGCATAAATAAATTAACTTTTAATATTGAAACAAATTCACTTTTTATTATAAAAACTATATCAATTTAAATAGCCACGCTTCAATTTAATTAAAATCATGATTTATTTACTATGAGTAACCTGATTTTTTTCCAATAAATCGATACATATATAAAGTTTGTTTGTACTCCGCATCATCGTTCATTTGGTTTGATTGTGCCGAATATTCTGTCAATAAATAAAAACAATATTAAGTTTGGTCTGACAATGTGCATCACAAATTGGAAAACAGTTCCATTTATTTATCCAATTTTGTAAGGATAAGTTGCATAACATGATAATACTAAATGAGATAAAGTATTATTTTACACAATCAGATTACACAATCAATTGCTATTGATTATCGGAAACTATCAATTATAATTGGTATTCAAAATATTACAAATAATCTATATTATCACCAAGTTGCATACCATGATATAACTAAATGAGATTAATTTTTCTTACTCAATAAATTGTTTTGATTATTCGACATCTATCAATTATAATTGATATTCGAAATATAAAAAATGATCTATTTTATCACCAATTAGAATAAATTCCACATATTTATCAGAAATCTGAAAGTTCAATTTCCTAACATGATAAAAGCAGATCACGTCAAATATTATTTAAAGTTCATGATTCCAACTACTATACAACTAATGTGATAAGTACGAACCAATTTTGTTAAACTAATGGTGACAAACCTCGAATTGTATTTATAATTTTTCTAAATACGATTATAATATTTGATCGAATATAAATATACTCGACCAAAATTTTTATCGTTATATACAATTTTTCAAAATTTTAATCGTATTTACATTTTTATAAATTCTTATATATACAGTATAGTTAGTTTATTATATGACTTAAAATATAAAATGTACCGTTATTTACATAAACTTTACGATATAAATAAAATTTATGTTGTTGGTTGTTATATTCGTAAAAAATTTAATCGTATTTTTTATTTTTTATTTTTAAATTTTAATCGTATTTACAATTTTTTGAAACTTTTATCGTATTTACAATTTTTATAAATTCCTTTATAAGTTATAGTGAATTTACTATATGACTTAAAATATAATTTTTACCATCTCTTATATTCGAAATAAAAATCAAGAGTGCGAAGTTGAAGTAAAAGAGCTCTATTATTGTTAAACGTGAGCTTCAAGAGATAGAGGACGGTGACATTGTTGTGAGTTCCGTTGATTCTTTCTATGAAACCGATGAGGTAGTTATATTATTCGTTATTTTCTAATTTATAAAACGACTGATGCCAAATTTGTCCTTTCAAAATAATATCGAAAATATATGTTAACTAATTATTTGTTTTTCGCTTTTCAACGTGACAAATACATGAGTTTGCGCTACAATAGACTCAGTAATTGATGATTGGGCGTATCTTGCATGCAAAAGGTGCAACAACAAGATGGAGAATGGAGAAGGCCAATTTAAGTGCAACAAGTGTACCCATACACAGGGCTATACTTGCGCCGACACTTAGAGATAGTAGAATCTATCAATGCGTATTTGATTGAATGTCATACTTATTTAAGCTTTGACAGTATGTATAAATCCGAGTCCAATGCCAACTTTCCAGCAGAACTCCATACGCCTGAGTTCTTGAATAGTATCAATTGTTCTGGAATTCCGATCATGAGTTGCATCTGAAGGTAGGAAGTCCGGCAATGTTATTGCGAAACGTGGATCATTCAATGGGACTGTGCAATGGGACACGCTTGGTTGTGATGAAGCTCTTCTATCATGTTCTTGAGTATAAAATTCTTACTGACGACCATGCAGGTGATAAGGTGTTGATACCTCAGATGACAATAACTCCTTCTGATGTTAAGTGCCATTTAAGTTCCAACGAAGATAGTTTTCCAATATGGTTTCCTACGCAATGACCATAAGCAAAAGCCAAGGTCAATTTTTATCGTATGTTGGCTTATTCTTGAAGAAACCTTTTTTTATTCATGAGTAGTTATATGTTGTTGTCTCCCGTGTTACTAACGGAAACAGCTTGAAAAAATTAATTTGTGGATAAGAAGGATTAGGAGAAAATTAAACCAATAATGTGGTGTATAAGGAAGTGCTTAATAATATAGGAGTTTTTTTACATATTATTTATCTTATTGACTTAACTCATTGATTAATTTTTGAAAAAAAAAATTAGAAAACAAAGTTTTAAAAAATTTTGAAGAATAAGTCCCACCGTGCAACGCACGGGATCTATACTAGTTTGCATGTAATGTAGGTGCAATATAACGACTTAAACAGTTACACAATCATAGTTAGATAATTATATTTTTTAATAAATATATATTATAAAATTAAAATACATATTTTAAAAAATAACGTAACTAAAAATATCATAAATATATTTTATAGCATAAATATATAAATTTATTAAAAACGTATGCATTCGGCCAGGGGGGAGCCTTATAGGTTCCAGTGTGGGCCTAAACCCACACTGAAAAAAAAAAATATTATTTTATATACTCTATTCAAAAAATAGTTTAATGCTAAGTTAATAATAAGAAAAGAACAATGGAAACACAAAGAAGAAAAAAAAGAATAATGAGAAAAAAAAACATTGTTCTTGTTTATTTTGGTGAAAGTAAATCTAGTCACTTTTTTATTAGATTTGATATAATATTAAAATTTTAAACTTATATTTAATTGAATGTGGTTTTTTTTTTTTTTTTTTTT